GGGGGGAGAGGGTAAAGGGGTGGGAACAGGGTAAAAGGTTCAGGAGAGGGTAAAGGGGTGGGAACAGGGTAAAAGGTTCAGGAGAGGGTAAAGGGGTGAGGACAGGGTAAGAGTTTCGGGAGAGGGTAAGGGGGGGGGGACAGGGTAAGAGGGTCGGGAGAGGGGAAAGGGGTGGGGACAGGGTAAGGGGGTGGGGAGAGGATAAAGGGGTGAGGACAGGGTAAGAGGTTCGGGCGAGGGTAAAAGGGTGGGGACAAGGTAAGAGGTTCGGGAGAGGGCAAGGGGGTGGGGACAGGGGAAAGGGGGGGGGACAGGGGAAGAGGATCGGGAGAGGGTAAAGGGGGGGGGTCAGGGTAAGAGGTTCGGGCGAGGGTAAAAGGGTGGGGACAAGGTAAGAGGTTCGGGAGAGGGTAAGGGGGGGGGGAGAGGGTAAGGGGGTGGAGAGAGGGTAAAGGGGTGAGGACAGGGTAAGAGTTTCGGGAGAGGGTAAGGGGGGGGGGAGAGGGTAAGGGGGTGGAGAGAGGGTAAAGGGGTGGGGACAGGGTAAGGGGATGGGGAGAGGGTTTCCTTCAGACAAATTTGTGTTTTTGATGTAAAACCTTGTTTTTATCTATGTCCTCTTTCTTCAGCAGTTAACTCCCATCACATCATCTATCCATCCGTTCTCCGAGAATTCTGAATCTGACACTGGTCTAGTACAAAAAACGAACAACTTAGAACAGAGGCTCAGATCATCACCGATGGAAACAGGATAAAAATAGATCATCAAACATAAAAAACATGTATTAATCGTATATGATTTACCCCGCCATATAGCTGTGCGTAGAGGCAATGAACACGATCTAATACATGCATGACTATCAGCAAATGTTGGCAGAACCATCAGAAACCGGAACCCCAGGTGAGACCTCACAGATAAGGACACTTGTTCATAAACAACTTTTACTTAACAACAATCGTGTTTGTTTTCTCCAAGCTGTAAGCCTCATGCACAAAGAGATGAACAGTTTCTGACATGTAAAATTCTTTTTCCTCTCCAATTTCCCACCAAACACCTTGATGAAAAACTTTCAATTTGGATATGGAAATGGACAATTCTAAAATCCAGAAGCTTTAAACATGAATAAAACTGCCTCAAACAGGAATTAAACAATCTGAGAGGCTGACTAACAAGTATTTTTTGTGCTGTCTGAGTGACACAAACGACTTTGCCACCAGGGGAAACTGCTCTTCACAAGTCTTATCGGACATCAAAGCCAGCCATTCTTCACACTCCCCCATCTCAATACAACCTGGGTTTTAGATAATCTACCCATTATTACACCGGAATGTTCCCCGTCACCTTCACTCTATATAACCATAGGGTATGTGCTGGGTATTCCAAAGATAAGGCAAGAATTTTGAAAATCTTTTATCCATAATTTGTTTTTTTCCAGTTGGCAAAAGCAACGTTACACTATGAAAACATAATTGACTTTTAGATACTTCATTAAAACAAGATCAGGCCCTAATTTCTTACATCAATTAAAAAAACTGGTCTTTCAAGTATAAGCTTAAAGTACCACAGAGCAATTAATTGTTTGGTCCTGCAATTGAGAGAAAGGAAGATAATTTCATGGTTTGTGTTTTATTCAAATTTTTACGATGCGATTATAGCAATGAAGAATCAGACAGAGTCTACATCCTTACTATATTAATGATGATAATTGAAGAAATGCTAACAATGAATTTACCACTGAATTATATTTATTGCACAAAGCCCATTTTCTGCTTGTAATAGCATTTATACGTCTTCTTGTCTTTAAAAGCAGGCATCATAATAATGTTGAAAGTGTGTCTACCCATGGGAGGCTTTAGGTTCGAATCACTATGAAAGCAGTAGCTTAGAACAATATATACCTCACACTGGGTGTTTCAGTCTACTCAGCTGTATACATGGGTACCTGCACTGGAAGAAATCTTCCAAACTTTGGCGTCTTTTGATAGAATCAGACAGGGTCTACATCAACACTCGATTACATTATGCTACTGAAACTTGGTTGTAGCTCAAATTGACTTAGTGCATGATTAGACTCAGAAACTCTTTCTTTTCCTCTTAAAAAGGTCACCATGACATCAATCAGAAACATTTCATCACAGATTGTACAAAAATGTCATTCTGTTATTGTTTTTAGACATTTCATCATTACTACATCGTAGAGATTGTTGTGTTATATACCATTTTTAACATGGATCTCAACGACAACTGATGTTAAGCGTTTTTGTATTACTTCATTGTCATCTAAAAAAACGTGTTAGATTTACTCCACTGAGTGTTAAATTGACAATTTAATGTCAATGGAACCTCGGAAGCAAGAACAGGATCATAGAGTCTGCTGACAACTAAACGTGTACATGTGTATCAGTAAACTACCTATTTATCCCCAGTTTATGTTATAGCATGTATAGTGACCTAACACAAGTTCGACATTGATCTGTGATATACATGAATTTTAATGACGGACCTCTTTGGCTTGTTCTATCCTGATTGACGGCCCTGTAACCACCAGTTAGGACTTATCTACAAATCCCCCGGGAGAATGCTTCCTCAAATCAAATTAATAGATTTGCGGAAAGTCAAACAGATTCTGGAGATAGAATCAAACTGGACCGACATGTAACAGTTAAAACAGATCTATTGGAGCGGGTTGTAATGGGATAAACTGTATCGGTCTCCAGAGAATATATAAAAATTACCATTGAAATCAAATTTGTCAGTAATGGGAGTTATGACATCAGCAGTGCACAGGCCCTGTAAATAGATAAATCTATAATACACTACAGGTTCTTCATGTTAACAGCTAAATAATAACATATTTAAAAGTAAGCCTCCTTCATACTCCCAAAACAAACATCCAAAATACAGAATCTGTGACATAGTTAATGAAGACTTTCAAAATGTTTACATCCAGGAACTGAAAAGTCCAAAATTTGTCATCTCATCCTTGGGACTATTTTTTTCGGAAATCAAAATGTCCATAATACTGTGCCACATAACCAAGTGATGTTAAGATAGATTTTGTATTACTGTTCATTTCTGGAGGAATTCCAATCTGATATAAAGATATCTTGAGATAGAGAAATACTATAATGCTTCAGTAGCGACACCTAAGGAAGCTAACAGTAAATACCATAGCAGATGTTTCACAGGAATCTAGAAGTGTGACCAAGTGTGTAGAATTATCACAATTTAGTTATATAGTTATCACCCACTGATCATGAAGTGCCATTGTTTTATAAATGACGGAAGTTATATATCTTAAATACATAAGGGTGCTCATGCCTCCCAAAATAATCAAGGAGTTACTTCCCTTTAAACAAGTAGGTAGATCATTTTACACAAAGTACTGGGAGGACAATACTATTGTACTGTAGATAGAATACAGCAATAGCCTTTCAAAATATCTTTTGACAGAAGTCATTTAACGGCTTATTTACAGTCTTGCATTTTATGAAATAAATTTGAATGCTACTTCAAAATTAAGAATAACACTTTCACAGTAAAATTTTGATTCTTAGATGGTTTCAAAAGATTGTGCCTATCTTCCTTAAGTTTAACTACAAAATCTGTTCACATAAAATACTAAAACAAACATTACCATAGGATTATAGCATTAAAATTCTCTTTAAGATACTGTATAATTTTTTTTAAAGGATTTAATTTCCTTTTTATTTGAAACACATTACAGAGATTTATTAACACCATATTGTGTGACACTTCTGATTTCATTACACTAATGCATTGATTCAGACTCCCCTACAATCGATAATAGATTTATCCTAATCAATGAAATACCCAGTCCTATACAAAACAAAGGGGTTCGGAAATTAAACTCACCAAAAAACCTCAACAGATGTGGTTTTATGAAGAATTAAATCTTAATTTATGCCATATTGACACGTGCAACATCAGCAAGATTACAACAGATTCTGTTTCTTCTGATCAATTTCCGATTGGACCAAACATCAAATGGACTTGGCTGAAATCCTCAAACATCTCTAGGATACAGATTTTATCTAATTTGCATGAAAATGACATCCATCTGTGATGATTTTTCCGTTGCATAATTGGACACTTTTTCAACCAGATTATTTGCTAATTTACAATTTTGTCTGTTAAGTATTGGGTATTGTGTAAATGGTGGGATTTATTCTGACAAAAATAATCTTGATCGTTTTGATGTTTGACACAATCAGGGCCAATAAAGTACAATGGTGTGTATTCAGTGAAAATGATCACATTGTTAACTATCATCCAATAATCAAGTTATTTCACATAAAATCATTAGCTATTTTCTATCAATGGTTATCTTGGAATCTACATCTTAAGTGGGATACCCAATACAACTGAAAGTTGAGGAAACCAACCACATATACCAACAACTTTCCTTCCTTAGCAATGTTTCAATAACACATTACTCAAGGGAAGCTTGGGGACTTCACCTCTTCTGTATTGGGATACATGTAATGGCCAGGGTGGTTATTGTAAATGAACATACTTAAGTTATGGTAATTAATTACTGAAATGAATTTCACGGTTCATTTTTGGGCTGGGCTTCTTAATTATTCACAAGTTTGAATTTTAAGAAAAACCAAAATCAGAGAAACTAAAATATACCGTTTAAAGCATTAATTGTTAATCCAAATGCCACTAATTCCGTTGTTTCTCTATTCGACCGGTGTTTTAGGAGACAAATCGTCCATTTTCTTTACAAAATTGTGCCAATAATCCTGCCATCTCACAACTCTGCCATTTTAGCAGGGAACAAAGATGGCTAGACTATTGAAGTCCCATGAAGCACCAGTTTATCAAAAAATTGAAACCAGTCTTTGACATATATCTCTTAATCCATTCATCTGAGAATTTCTTCGAAACACTTTTATTTACAGGTATTGTGTTTCTTAATTAGTGAAGAAGTACACTGCTAAATTAGCTACTTAAATATAATATAAATTCTTACCCCAGTTCTCTCCCCTTTATGACGTGCAATGTCGCGCTGTAACTTAGAAACTTGTTGTTTCTCTCTCCTGGCGTTGTGTCTCTCCTCGCTGAGTTTCCGACTGAGGTCCTCAATCTTCCTCTCCAGTACATCCTACAAAATATAGAAAATCTGATTGATAACCAGCTCAGGTGAACATGTTCTGTAATAGAATGCAGTGGACAGTTTCTACAGTGTTGTAGTAGACATGTTCTGTAATAGACAGATTCTGAAGTATGAAGGTTTTGTACTAAACAGTTTCTGTATTAGACAGGTTCTGTAATAGACAGGTTCTGAAGTATAACAGTGTTGTACTAATGTTTCTGTAGTAGACAGGTTCTGAAGTATAAAGGTGTTGTACTAAACAGTTTCTGTATTAGACAGGTTCTGTAATAGAAAGGTTCTGAAGTATAACAGTGTTGTACTAAAGTTTCTGTAGTAGACAGGTTCTGTAATAGACAGGTTCTGAAGTATAAAGGTTTTGTACGAAACAGTTTCTGAGTAGACAAGGTGTAATGATGTGATATAAAGCATCCCCTGTCAAGTAATAACTGTTAAATAGATGTAATGTCTCTCAAAATGTTCTTTCAAAATAGGTATTCTCTCAAGACTTGTATTTTAATATTTAATAATGTTGTACCATTTGTTTGAAGCATTTTTAATTGTATATTATGTTTTTGACATGTAAAAAAAGTTCTTTGATTTAATTGATCTTACCCGATTTAACTCATTAAATCAATCAATCTTTTAATTGGAATAGTTTGAATGTGTCTTCAGGGGTGAATGAGTTAATATGTCCTTATAAAAAACATTGGGTCTCTATATAAACTTGTCATATTGCACCTCAAAACGAAGATGGTTACTAACGACAGTATATACATTTGGTCTCTCAAGACATGTACTCTATTAAACAGTTTATACAATAATGATTTTACAAGACCGGTGGTTTCTCCAGTGAGAAACAGAACGTTTTCCACAGATTTACCTGATTTACGTGATGAAGGTTCGTTATAGTGACTTTTCTACAAGTCAATTATCATATAGACATCAAAGATACTTCCCTACACACAAACAGGTCAGTCTTTATACTTTCTCATGGGAGATATTTTTTTTGCATTTTTTAGATAATACAAGAATTCTTAGCACCAGCAGCCAAATCAATCCATCACCAGTGGGACTATTATCTCCCCTGTGTGTGTGTGGTAAGGTGTGTACGGGTAGGGGGTGCTGATGGGGTACCAGAGAGGGGTGCTGACAGGGGGAAGGAATGGGACAATGATGAGGTACCAGACAGGGGCACTGACAGGGGTAAGGAATGGGATAATGATGAGGTATCAGACAGGGGTGCTGACAGGGAGAAGGAATGGGACAATGATGAGGTACCAGACAGGGGCACTGACAGGGGGAAGGAATGGGACAATGATGAGGTACCATACAGGGGCACTGACAGGGGTAAGGAATGGGACAATGATGAGGTACCAGAGAGGGGCACTGACAGGGGTAAGGAATGGGATAATAATGAGGTACCAGACAGGGGCACTGACAGGGGTAAGGAATGGGATAATGATGAGGTACCAGACAGGGGTGCTGACAGGGGTAAGGAATGGGACAATGATGAGGTACCAGACAGGGGCACTGACAGGGGGAAAGAATGGGACAATGATGAGGTATCAGACAGGGGCACTGACAGGGGTAAGGAATGGGACAATGATGAGGTACCAGACAGGGGCACTGACAGGGGTAAGGAATGGGCAATGATGAGGTACAGAGAGGGGCACTGACAGGGGTAAGGAATGGGATATCATGGGGTATCAGAGAGGGGTGCTGACAGGGGAAGGAATGGGATATGATGGGGTATCAGAGAGGAGTGCTGACAGGGGGAAGGAATTGGACAATGCGATGAGGCACCAAAGAGAGGAGCTAATAGGGATAAGGAATAGGACAATGTGATGAGGTACCAGAGAGGGGTGCTAATAGGGGTAAGGAATGGGACAATGATGATCGAGGAACCAGACAGGGGCACCGAAAGGGGTAGGAAATAGGACAATGCTGAAGTGCCAGAGAGCGTTGTGATGGGTTTATGAAAAGGATACCAACAAGAGCCAGAGAGTAGCTGGTAGGGTGTTGATGGGACACAACAGAGTGTTATAGGGGTTCTGAGTGGGGTGAGGAAGGGACTCAGAGAGAGTAGCTGGTAGGGTGTTGATGGGACACAACAGAGTGTTATAGGGGTTCTGAGTGGGGTGAGGAAGGGACTCAGAGAGAGTAGCTGGTAGGGTGTTGATGGGACACAACAGAGTGTTATAGGGGTTCTGAGTGGGGTGAGGAAGGGACTCAGAGAGAGTAGCTGGTAGGGTGTTGATGGGACACAACAGAGTGTTATAGGGGTTCTGAGTGGGGTGAGGAAGGGACTCAGAGAGAGTAGCTGGTAGGGTGTTGATGGGACACAACAGAGTGTTATAGGGGTTCTGAGTGGGGTGAGGAAGGGACTCAGAGAGAGTAGCTGGTAGGGTGTTGATGGGACACAACATAGTGTTATAGGGGTTCTGAGTGGGGTGAGGAAGGGACTCGGAGAGATGAGCTGGTAGGGTGTTGATGGGACACAACAGAGTGTTATAGGGGTTCTGAGTGGGGTGAGGAAGGGACTCAGAGAGATGAGCTGGTAGGGTGTTGATGGGACATGACAGAGTGTTATAGGGGTTCTGAGTGGGACGAGGAAGGGACTCAGAGAGAGTAGCTGGTAGGGTGTTGATGGGACACAACAGTGTTATAGGGGTTCTGAGTGGGGTGAGGAAGGGAGTCAGAGAAAGTAGCTGGTAGGGTGTTGATGGGACACAACAGAGTGTTATAGGGGTTCTGAGTGGGGTGAGGAAGGGACTCAGAGATGAGCTGACCTGGTAGGTTGTTAACGATACTAACATGGTACTACAATAGATGTACATGTGTTGATGTGGATGGGATTGGGAGGCTGATGAAATATTACTTATAGAGAGGAATTGAGAAAAGGTAGGGATAATTTGGGGGAGACACACTGGACAGTTTAACATGTCCTGATTTCAAGTGTTAGGGAGGGAAAGATGATTATATGTATATCTGTTTGAAACCAAGGATATCAGGTGGGGGAATGGAGCAGGTACTTGTCTGCTAAAAGGGAGACAATTAGGCTCTACAGGAATATCTGTAGGAGACCCAATGACCACCAAAGTGGTTGGGGAGGGAGAGTACTGATGATGATATCATGATCAGGTGGGGGTATGGAGGAGGTACTGGTCTGTAACTGGGAGACAATTAGGCTCTACAGGAATACCTGTAGGAGACCTGAATGACCACCAAAGACCAAATCTAAAATCATATCAACATTCATTTCACAAACTGGATACAGATGCAGCCATTATAATACATGAGGTAAATAACTATGCATGCAGAGGTCAAAGGTTAGGAATTAACCTATATTTTTCCCTTTTCTTAATTTAGGGGCTTAAATTAAGTGACTTTCATACCTGATTTTAATATAGCAAAATGAATATTTTACTCCACATAGTTCTGAACTGAAGTCTTGTTTACAGAATGGTATATAATAAAATCCTGCAGTTTCATAAACAAATTCAATCTTTGATACAACAGATTTATAGGCTATTTATTAGCCAACAGGGTTCTTTGACATACAGGATGAAACATTTAGGGGTCAGAAGTTGTTTGCTGTAACTGTATCAGGCAAACCACTAAAGTGTTCTCTTTAACTCATTCACCCCTGAAATTTCATAATGAACTATTCCAACCTTTGAATTGGAGGAGTTCAAATGTGTCTTCAGGGGTGAATGAGTTAAGGATCCTTGCCCCACTACAGACAAAACACTAGAGAATTCCACTTCTGTATTTTGTACATGAAGCATACATTTCTGGTTATCCACAAGAATACTGGAAAACACAAATGCAAAATATACTTTGTCTTATCTGTCAAAATGCGGTTAACGATTTATTTCAGTCTGCCATATGACGGCCCCTTTCAGTAAAGAACAACTCAACCACAATATAGATTGCACCTGTATAACGTATGACTAGACACTACGTTACAGAGAAGACACCTTGTATCACAATTACTGTTCAAGGGAGGCAACTCTTACAGACTTGCCAAAATTATATACACAGATCCCACAAAAACATCAGTCTCATTACAGTTAACTTTCTCATCCTATAGAAGAAACTAAATCATGGATGACATATAGACAAGTGTACACAGCTCTAACAGTTAGTAAGCAGACTGGCCATCACACTGATGTTATAATGCAGCGTTCATTATTGTATCCGGCAGCTTCTATAATCCTTTCAAAAAACAGAAGCAACCGTTTGTAAGAGTACAGATTTGTTTATATTCAAAGCAAGTAAATTCATCTGAAGTTGATTGTGATACAACTATATGTATCTCTGGCACCCTCCACTGTTTGTAAAAAATCCAAACACACAATCATCTGTTTCTTCAAGTGACAACTAGTAAAGATGTGTGTATAGATACTTCTATTTTATTGTCGTCTACAGGATTAATGGTATCTGACACCTAAGGGGAAAATTCCAAACTTTCACATCAGCGAGGGAGGTTGTAAACATTAATGTAACAGAAAATGTATCTGTCTGAACCCGATAGGGTGTGGCAATTTACAGTGGAATCAAGCTTCTAGTCAGGTCAAACATCTCATAGGTCAAACATCTCGTAGGTCAAACATCTCATAGGTCAAACATCTCATAGGTCAAACATCTTGTAGGTCAAACATCTCGTAGGTCAAACTTCTAATAGGTTAAACTTCTCATAGGTCAAACATCTCGTAGGTTAAACATCTCATAGGTCAAACATCTTGTAGGTCAATCATCTCATAGGTCAATTATCTCATAAGTCAAACATCTCATAGGTCAAATATCTCATAGATCAAACATCTCATAGGTCAAACATTTCATAGGTCAAACTTCTCATAGGTCAAACTTCTAATAGGTTAAACTTCTCAAAGGTCACATTTCTTGTAGGTCAAATATCTCATACATCTAATAGGTCAAATATCTCGTAGGTCAAACATCTCTTAGGTTCTAGAAGGTCACTCTTCTGATTTGTGTTAGAGGTAACA